CTAAGTAATATATATATTTCTCAACTCTGATCGATACGGCTACTTTGTCATTAATAATTTACTGGAAAAAGAAAAAAATTCTAAGCACACGTTACTACATTTCCTTTCAAGTATAGTTGATTACAGAGGAAAAATTACTTCGAATTCGAACGAACTAAGTAACACATACATTTATAGAATCACGCTGAAAAATCTTCACGAGTCTCACTCGTAGGACAAGGGGTTAATTACTCAGTAGTTCCAGCGTTAGCGCGAGATAAGAATGAAACGAAGTGACATCCGTTATGCACACTGGAGAAAATAAAATCTCCCGAACTCGGCCGGCCATTGTGCGGAACGTGTTCCGTGGGGATTGCAGGGACGTGCAAAAAAAGGGAGATGAAAGGGGTGCGGCGGGTAGGGATGATTGGTCCATAAAAAGGAAAATCCGAGAAGGAATAGCTGCCGGTATGAAAAGAAGGTTCAACGAGATTCGTCGCGAGCTGCCGTCCGACGGCGTGCTCCGTCGGTCGTCCTTCTCGCGCGCGTAAATGGCCGACCCTCGAGGAAACTGCAATCGGCCCGCGCGTCCTTGTTTACGATACTTCGCGCGGTCGAGGACGAGCGACGACCTTTCAACTGTCTTTCGCCGGAAACGAGCTCTCCCGCGACGATAGGTTACCGGGCAAATGGCGGCGTCCATCTTGTCGCTCGTGTTATTCTGCTCCTTGCTTTTTCAACGTCCCGCTCTGAGTTTCTCGTTTCACTTTTTGTAATTTTCTTTTTCCATTGTTAACGTTAGGTTTATGGAACTCGTCAATTTGACGGATACTAGATTTCTGACAAATTATTTAATAACGGTTTAAGTTGATTCTGACTTGTGCAATTATGCGAATACACATTGCAATGTTCTGAAGCTACAATTTTCGCGATTTATATAGACGATCGCGTAGTTTCCTAAGAACAATAGAACAAACTGTAGAATAAACATGCGTGAATCTAATGGTAACATTCCATTAGCAATCGATTCGATGTAATAGAATTGTATAATTTAATATACAACATTAACCCTCTGCACTATTCAATATAATCAAATTGTAATATTAAACGATGAGAATTGACAGAGCACCTGTGCATCCGATATAATTAATTCACAATTGTTTAAAACCATTGTAGTACTGTTTTCCCTCGAAAGTACGCATCGAAGTGAATCGTTCGAGTTGTTCATTTGAAAAAAGGAATTAATACTAAAATTAATTAATTTAGCGCCGTTCGAGCAGTTTGCATTAAAATCAGAGGAGTATTATTTTATTTAAAAACCGCCAGCCTCATTCGTAAATTATTTCAACCGTGGGCTCCAACGAACACAATTTTGTAAGAGTCCCGACAGTTTGTCGCCGTGGCGAACGTTAAATGAAAAACTCTGTGAACATTTAAAGGACTCCTCGTTTATTTTATTCCCCGTAAATCCGTTCATGAAGATTTATTATATTTATTTTATAAAATTATCTGTATACGCGCGGAGTTTGGAGGCTGATACTTTGGTACGAAAATAAATTGTTTCAACGGGGCTAAATGAATGGGTATCGCGCAACGGATTTTCACAGTTGATTATTTTCCGTTTGGCAAGTTTGTAAAACAAATGGGTCGGCTCGTTGCGCTGTACAAAGTGCTTGTAAAAATCACCGAAAGAGAGATTTCAGCGGAAAATATAAAATAACACTTTTCAGTGTAATACGAGTACATGTATCTCTTTCGGAATAATCGTTTGGAGTATCGTTAAATATCAATATTAACCGTTTGCACTCGGACGATTTTCATTAGAAATGTTCCAACGTTTTCTGCAAATTAGACAATATTCCTGAAATTGATATTAAATATCAAATTTTATCATTTTACCGTATGAAACCTGTATTTTGAAATCCGAAGCCATCAAATGAACTTTCGAATTCGATTATTCAGTTGATATTCTGAATCAATTTTCTTTTAAATAAATATCTAATTATTTAGAATAAACGATGACACGTTAATACATTATTCTAAATCAATTCTCTTTTAAATAAATATCGAATTATTTAGAATAAATGATGAAATTCATATTTTTATTGTATATTGTTTAACCAGTTAACTGTATTTGACGAGTGTACACGTCATCTTAAAACTCTTAATGCTGCTAACTTTTTCAGCGATGGATTATTCATTTTTTCAGACGAACATGTAATTCTTCGTTTCGCTTTAGTTTCTCGTTAAGATACATTTTAAATTCATTTGGCCCGCATTTAACGAGTATACACTTCATTATTTCATTTTATTGCAATGAGAGATTTTTCAAACTAAATTCCCCACTTAATTGGTTAATATTTTAATTATTTTACAAGTCAGACTTTTGAATACGAATTATTTTTGCACGTTGCATTCATTTTCTGACAAGCTCCACGCGCTAAAGTTTCGGAAACCATCCGTGTACCCGTGAAATCCAAATTTAGAAGCACTCGGCGTTCTTCGAGCGGAGGCCGAAGCGAGAACCCGACTCTCCTCCTTGACCCGTTCGACGAGTTAACCTTCTCGGTGGCTGTGGACGTGTAAATACGTCCAGCAATTGACGTACTGTGACCGCCAGGAGCGATTTCACGCGTCCGCAGAATTGGGTAACGCCGGGGCTGAGATTACTAATAAATAGACTGCGGCCATTGCCGGAAGCTCCTAACTCTGCACTATGAATTCGATTTGCCGGAAAGAAGATTAGCGATTCCGCCCCTTGCGTTAAGGGTGTAGGAAGATGAACGTATTGGGAATTTCGACAACGAATTTAGCGAAAGAAAATTAGTCAGTACTGTGATTGTTATAATTATAACCTTCGTTAGAAGTTTAAAATCTTAGATTTTAATTAATGTTAAAGAAAGAAATTTAGATTAGAAGTTCTAAATCTTAGGTATCAATTTATGTAAAAGAAAGAAATTTAGATTAGAAGTTAAAAATCTTAGGTATCAATTTATATAAAAGAAAGCAATCTAGATTAGAAGTTCAAAATTTTAGGTATCAATTTATATAAAAAAAACAATTTAGATTAGAAGTTAAAAATCTTAGGTATCAATTTATATAAAAAACGCAATTTATATTAGAATTTCAAACTCTTAGATATCAATTGATATAAAACAAAGCTGGGCATTAAAATTGCAATAAAGTACCCTTTGAAAATGATACATCCCGTCGAAAGTATTTTCTTAACTTCAGTCATCTTTCAGAAAATTGATAGAAACTGCTTATAAAAGCTTGTATTAATTTAAAAAAAATTTCAATTGCTGGTACTACTGGAGAATTACTATTATACAGGGAGTACGATCCGTCATGCAAATGAAGAATTCAATAAATCCCCCGCGAAAGTAAACTTACAACACTCAGCAGCTTCGAAGTTCTCCAATAACAAGGTTCAATGTACTTAAAGTATTACGGGGAACTTAAGAATTTCCGACCTTCTTCTCGATACGTTTAATTTTCTACTCAAAAAGAACGTGTATAGACGTTCACTTAAAAGATGATAATTTATTATTTTTCGTTGTCAACACAAACTTCGTTTTTTTTAACCCTTTGCACTCCACAAATTTTCACTGGAAATACTCAATATTTCCTAATGAGCTGCAGATGAGATTTTCCAAAATTGCAAACTATTTTCTTTCAATATTTCATATGAATGCATCAAACAAAGTTGAATATTAAACCTCAAACTTTACAATTTAGCTAATTATAATTGATTTGTCACAGCTACATACATTTTTCTAGGAGCAATAAAATAAACCGTACAATAAACTCCCGTAAATCTAGTGTTAATGTTGAACTTATAATCCCTCGATATGTGAAATATTGAAATAAACTTTATTCTTCGATGTACTTGTGATTTCCAATCAAGTGAGTTTCAAGGAACATCGTCTTTGTCCTACCAAAAAATGTTAAATATTTCTAATGAGAAATTTTCGAGTGCAAAGGGTTAACCTACGCGTCTAAACATTGTCGGTTACAATGAATAATTAGTGTTCAGCATCGAGAAGTTCCGCGGACAGTAAAATTATTCCTGAAACGGTGTTCAACGCGTAAAATGTAATGGTTTCAGTTGGAATTCGGCGATCAAAGGGGTGCTAGGACAGAATATCGACCGCTCCGGGCGTCGTTGGGAGTAATGGCGATCGCGGGGGACGCGTTGACGATTCGTTGTCACGATAAATCGTGAAATCTCGAACGCGACAGCGTCGGGGCAGCCGTGAAGCGCCGGGAAGGATGAGAAGTGGCGTCGCCATTGATACGCGGCGCGAGTAGAGCCTCCTCCGCGGCGTTTCCACCGGAAGCTCGATCGCGAGCGATGACGTTGTGCTGTGTGTTGTTGTGACGTGTTCATCTGGACGTGTTGTTCCCGGAAACGTGGATCCTGGTTCCGGAATCATCTTCGGTAAGCATGGTCATCGTGATTCTATTCTAAATTACTCGAAGATCTATTGAAAATTCAATCGTTCCTATGAAATTTCGAATTCTAATCAAATGTCACTGAAATTTCGATATATGAGATATTAAATTCGAATGAATTTGTTTTTAAATATTAAACTGTAATATGTAATAGTTTGAAGTTCGTTGGAAATTTCTGCGAGACGAATGATTAAACTTAGAATACAGAAGCGTTTCCTAAATTTGAATCGTTCTGAAGTTTCGATATAAGAGATATTAAATTTGAGTTTTGTTTCAAACAAATGTTAAACTGTAATATGTAATAGTTTGAAGTTCACTGGAAATTTCTGGGAGATGAATGATTAAACTTAGAATAAGAGTGTTTCATAAATTTGAATCGTTCTGAAGTTTCGATATAAGAGATATTAAGTTTGAGTTTTGTTTCAAACAAATGTTAAACTGTAATATGTAATAGTTTGAAGTTCATTGGAAACTTCTGCGAGATGAATGATTTAACTTAGAATACAGAAATGTTTCATAAATTTGAATCGTTCTGAAGAAGTTTCCCATTCAACCGTCATAAAATTCTGCATAACCACGGATATTATCGCAGATTGACTCAAATATCAGAGTTCCGCACCGCATTTCACACGGGGAATTCAATTCGAAGGTAGCGTTGCGACTAAAAATATCAGTTTCCATACGATTTCGCCGGTGGAAGAGTTAAAGGCTCCGCCAAACGGAGTCAGAGCCAAGTGGAATCGACTCCGGCCGTAGAATTTGGTCAGGATCGTTTACATTTTCATTCTCTTGTCGCCGTTCGTTAACCCCGATGAGATATGTGTGCCCACAGTAGTCGGCGGCTGGTTCGATTCGATTCGTCGATTCGTTTGCCAATCGGAGTCGGAACTTCTCCGCTCCGTTTCGCCGGATTTTTCGCTGGCAACGATCCCCCGCGCCGCGTCTAAGGCTATTTGCACGGCCGGCGAGCGCGAATCCGGATGGAAAATTAATTTATGTTCAAAGGAAGCGTCAAGACGCCGCTGGAGGCTGCCGGGAGCGCGAGCTTTCGATTTCTTTGCCGCGAGACCGTGTCCGAAATTAAGGCTTCTAATTTCTCTCACGGAAAATACGATTTGCTGCCGCCACCGTGTATCCGTGGTCCCTTTGCGGTGGCAAATTTAGGATTTTATACGGTGATCATTCCGCTGGCGACTCTGGGGAGTAGAGTGTTGGGAATTTAGGAAGTGTGACCGGATTGAGAAACTGCAATATTGCATCTACTGCTTTTAGCTTGTCGTTTGAATTTGGAACTTTGAATTTAGAGCTCTGAATTTAGTTGTTTGAATTTGGTGCTATGGATTTGGTGCTCTGGATTTGGGGCTCTGAATTTGGAGCTCTGAATTTACATCTTTGAATTTGGGGCTTTGGATTTGGAACTTTGAATTTGGATCTCTGAATTTAGATCTTTGAATTTGGTGCCTTGGATTTGGTGCTTTGGATTTAGGGCTCTGAATTTGGAGCTCTGAATTTACATCTTTGAATTTGGTGCTTTGGATTTGGAGCCTTAAACTTGGAGCTTTAGATTTTGATCTTTGAATTCGGAGCACTGAATTTGGATCTTTGAACTTGGTGCTTTGAATTTGGTGCTTCGAATTTGAAGCTTTAAAGTTGGTGCCTTAAATTTGGAGCTTTATATTTGGAGCTTCGAATCTGGAGCTCTGAATTTGGATCTTTGATTTTGGTGCTTCGAATTTGAAGCTTTAAAGTTGGTGCCTCAAATTTGGAGCTTTAAATTTAGAGCGTTAGATACGGAGCTTCGAATCTGGAGCTCTGAATTTGAAGCTTTGAACTTGAAGCTTTACAGTTAGAGCTTTAGATTTGAAGATTTTAAACTGTACCTTTGGATTTGAAGCTTCAGATTTGAAGCTTCAAGTTCAAAGTTTCGAATTCCAAGCACCGATCGTAAAGCACCAAACTGAAAGCGTCGAATCCAAAGCCTCAAAGTGAAGTGCCCAAAATATATCCCCGAACTTCAATACCTAAATTCGAAGCTCGAGCATTCAAATCTCAATATCCAAATCGCAACGTTTGAGCTTCAGCATTCCAATTGAAATTTCCAAAGCCGAGTCCGCCGAATCAGCCCCGAATCGCAAATATTTGAATTCCGCCGCGCAAACGAGTCTGTTCAAAATCGACTAATCAAAGCGTTCCTATCATTCAATTGCCGCGCACATTCCCTCCCCCGGAAAAACAGTTTAATTTCGGTAACCGAGTCACGTGGCGGACGACAGAGCGATTCGAAAACCGATGGTTCCCCGTCGGTGAAGTTTGCGGTGCGCGAATTCCGTGGCTCCTGCAAGAATTTCATTGCGGAAATTAATACCGAATATCCGGCTGCATACTGCAACAGTCGGCCCCCATTTCCCGCGGTCGTATTCCCTTTAAAGCCGACCCACGCGCGCGCATCAACTCGCAACTTTAAGGCCGCGTCCAGACTTGTTACTGTACCTCGTTCCGTTACCGCGAACTGTTTCAGACCGCAGGCCGACTGTGAATCTTTCTGCGGAATAAAAATTCCCCGAAGTAATTCAACCATCTGCGGGCGGAAGAATTTTTGTTCGTGATTATAACGAAATTGATGCACTGTGCCATTAATAAGTATCAACGTATGAACAGAAATTATCAGTGTATTCGATAGTTTTAATAATTTCATTCAAACTAAGTTAACTGATTTCTTAATTTTATTCACCACCTTCAGTGCAGAATGATATAAATCAACAAGTTGCCAATATACTGATATGTTACTTCAAAGTTACATGGGCCTACAGAGGGTTAATCCTCTGTGGGCCGAATTTTATTTCGTGATTATAACAAAATTAATGCAGTATGATATTAATAAGTATTAACATATGAACAGAAATTATCAGTTTATTCAATAGTTTATCAATTATTCAATAGTTTTAATAATTTTATTCAAGTGAATGTATCTTGTAGCTTTGAAGTTGCAATGACGTTGAACGTAAACTCCTGTGTATACGAAAGTTTAAGTTGATCAATTATTTAATGGAATTGGTTAGTTTTCAATAGAAGATTAAATAAATCAATTTAACCCAGTATATTGATGTGTGACTTCAAAGTTTCACAAGTGAAACTGGAAATAGAATCTTCCTCTCGCTTCTCGAAATTTTAACGAGTTGACAATCAAATGATATCCCTGTAAACGGCTTATTATTTTTTATTGTTGCATATAGTGCATTATTAATGCGCCCTTTACATCCGTCGTAAACGCACGAAATGAATGTGAGTTTTTACTTTGTGCTCATTACTTTAATCCCGCGGCCTTTGATGTAGAAATTTGAAATACGATTGCAAGAGTAGACACGAGGTTTTGTATGCATTCGTGGTTTTAATATAAATTAGTAATAATATGATCGTCGCGGTGTTCGGTTTGTTAATTTGAAATTTTATTACAGAAATATAAACACGAACGATTTCTCTATAATTTATAACCATAATATAAATCAATAATAATACATAAATTGCAGTGTTCGTTTTATAAATATGAAATGTCGTTACAGAAATATAAACACGAACAATGTTTCTATATATTACACACTGATATTAATACAAGAATATCTCATACGCAAACTTTAATGTAAATTAGTAACAATATAATAACCACAGTGTTCGGTTTATAAATTTGAAGTTTCATTACATAAATATAAACACGAACAATGCGTTGAAAATTCAGACATTCATTATAGTATTAAAGTCAAAGCTCATTCCCAAGATCATTTCGAATATTCAATGCTTCGAAGATATCAATAATTGCCAAACAACACAATCGAAAGTCATTTCGATTGGTACGGTAGTCCCACTGTTAATACAAGAATATCTCGCACGTAAAAGATTAACATTGCCTTTCCCGAATTCATGCTCGCACACGTCACTGACACGGAAGCTAAGGGGTTACAAGCAACGGGAACATCGCGCGGCGCCTAAGCACCTTCGTTCCCTATTCCCCTCGCGGCTCGGGTATTTTTAATATCGGAACGTTTCGGATGCAACCGGAATAGAGATCGAGATAACACGCGGAACGCGCCGGCTGAAATATATATCCGTGGAATTGCGACGTGTGTGTTTCTCACTTTGCGTCCGCGGAGAACGAGCCCTGTGCGCCGCAGTCAGCCGTTGCGGGGCGCACGAGATCTAACATTTACATTTAGGGATGGCACACATTTTTTTTCAAAGAACTGCTCCACCAGAAATATCCTTAATCAGTTGGCTGTTTTTCACGAGTACAGCCGTCATGAAGGAATGACGAGGTTTCGTGTTTTAACTAGTATACTCGTCGGAAAACAATTGACCAGTTAACACGTTGAATGCCGTAATTGGAAGTATGGATATTCGACAATTTTAATGAGATCGAGATTTATTTTACTCTCCTGCAATTATTTTGATTGAAAAGTCAAAAGTCTGTTTGAATAAACGAAGATCATCATTTCATGGTAACAATGGAACATTATTTAGCAACACAGAGGAGTGTACCCGTCATAAAGAAATGACGAGGTTTCGTGTTGTAACTAGTATACTCGTCGGAAAACAATTGACCAGTTAACACGTTGAATGCCGTAATTGGAAGTATAGATATTCGACAATTTTAATGAGATCGAGATTTATTTTACTCGTCTGCAATTATTCTGCTCGAAAAGTCAAAAGTCTGTTTGAATAAGCGAAGATAATCATTTCACGGTAACAATGGAACATTATCTAGCGACACAGAGAAATCGATAATTATTTCGTATGGGGTGCTGCAATGAGGATTAAAGTTCCTCGAACGACGCCATTACTGTAGGCACATGATTTAATCAGAATATTCTTGTTACAATCGATTTATCGAATATAAATTTTTATTAATCAAGAAACTTATTGTATCTTTATTATCGAGGAAACTTATCATATCTTTATTATCGAAGAAACTTTTTACATGTTTATTGTCGAGGAAGCTTTTTGTATCCTCGTCAATCAAGAAACTCATTATCTGTTTATTATTCAAGCAATTTATTCTATTTTTATCGGAGACGTATTGTACGTATTATTGACGGATCTCCGAATAATCGATGTCCGTCCGCAGAGATATTAATATTTTCCCTCGCGCGTCGTTCCATTTTTCGCAGCGTTGTTTAATTCAGTACGATTATTATTAATCGCGGTCCCTTTGCGCGAAAAATGTTGCCTTCGGGATCCGATGAAAGCCCGCTCGCTTTTACACCGTTCTCGACCGATTAATAACGTAATAATTAACGGTTTTATTCCGTTCGCTCTTCTTGCAGCTTACGCTGGAACTTTTGAGGCCGAAAGCGCGGAGAGGATTTATCGAGATTGAATGTTTGATGAGACTGATCGGCAGTTTCGTTGGAAGCAACTTGGTATCGATATTGGAAAATCGAGGAAGGTGCATTTAACATTGAATCGGTGAATATGTTTTTGGGAAATTTCAATGTAACCTTGTAAACCTTTTCCTCCTCGAATCTTGTAACTTCCCTCGTGGAGTACATGCAAACGCGAAACATTGTAGCTTCAAATACGCAGCATTACATATTGAGTACGCGTTTTCTATTTCGAAATTTTAATAGCGAAACCCGTACGTCGCACGCCGACTTAACTTTGCGCGACTGATTGGAAGTGGACTGTATTATGACTGGATATATGAGATATAAGAAAGATAGTGGAGCAGTTATTAAGAAGAATCTTGATTTCTCAGTTTCTGGTTGATGGAGAAAACTGTTTCGAGTACATGGGAGTTTTGATGATTGTTTACGCGGCAGTCAAAGTGTTACGACTTCGCGACGCGAGACTGCAAGCGTTTGCGTTCCACCTTTTGCCTTGCCATTCTGTCGACATAAGCAATCACTGTGAATCCACGTTTACTCTATAATAATTAATATTGATAATCGTACTATACGTTTCCTCTACTTTCACGAATGATGAAGCACAGAGTACGATCTTGTAAAATGCTTACCGAACTGCTCGATTCCGTCGAAATGGCCGTTCAACCGAAAACTCCCCAAAATCTCTATCAAACCCAAATCAAAAGCTCATTTCCATATTCCTTGCGCTCAATCCCTAAATCCTCGTCACAAATCAGACGCATCACCGGCGACAACACAATCAAAACACAATCAAAACACGATTAAACCTTGGCCCGTGATACTATCCCCTAACATACCGAACAGCCCGGTTCATAAAGCTCGCTCAAACTGATTACAAATTCCCCGTTCGACCTAGCAGTAATCATCCCCCGCGATTCATCGTTTCGTCCGAGTCATTTGGGAGCGTCTAAAATCCTCGTTACCCATGGAACAACCTCGTAAACGATAGCAATCGCGATTCTTTCGCGAACAACCGGCCCACGCACCCCTAGATAGCGATGGGAAGTGACATCGCTCGAGTTGTGTCGATCTTTGACCCTTCGAGAATGAAAATCTGTTGAGCTTCTGGAAACCTTCTTCGTAGAGAAACTGATCGAGGTGTTGAATACTAGAAAAGAAGAAATTATGTATCAATTTATCGTTATTTGAATAATTAGACGATTCATTCGCAGCTGTTGAATTTAGAAGTAATCATGCATCGAAGTTAATTACTAGACAAAAAGACTTTGACCGCAAATGGTTAAATAATGTCACGCAGAAGATCGCAGGTACACTATAAATGCATAGATATCGAAAGCATCGATTCCTAAACGATAAGCAATAATCGATTCATCATTTAGTATCCGTCACTTCAAATATCACACTCCATTTTCATTGCAATAATGATATTAATACATATATTAACTCTTCTCGCAAGTAATACTATCTTTCTCATTTTAATTTCAAAATTAATCTTTAATACTCTCTTCGATTAATTCTTTTCTCCATCTTCAAAACTTTCAACGATCCTCCATTAACCTTGGCGTATTTATTTTCGCTACTAAGTTCGTATAATATTTTACTACCGACAATTTGGAAAGAATACAACAAAATTGTCCATTCTACTTCAAGTGGAAATTTCATTTGAAGATAACACATTGATGATAGCAAAATAATTGTTTGCTTTGTTCCGTGGGTAATGAACAACATTGACTGTTAAATTAGTCTAATCTTCATCATTCGTCTCACTCGTAATTGCACGGCAAGGGGTTAAGAGGTTCCCAAGAAATTACCTCTACGACACTACCAACGTGCTCCGCATTACCAAACATCGCTTCGCCAAGTGAAACACCACGAAGAGCGAGCAACCATTCGATTCCCTATCAACCATTCGAAACGAGTGTTCGAGCAATTCGCTTAAAGCTCACGAGGAATCTTCGCATCGGTCCCATCGCTACCGGCGCTATCTCGATCGGTTGCTGGATCTCGTAAAAATTTTTACGCCGCGCCATCTCCCCGGCGTCTGGAAGTTTTCCCCGGGGCGCGAGGAAAGTCCAGAGGCTGATAAGCGGACAGTGCCCGTTGTTTCCCCCCTTTTCCCGCGGAAAATTTACTGCGATCGGACCGAGTCATTTTCGTGGAGACGTAAGCCTGCTCGTAAATTGGCCCGCCCATGGGACCAACCCCTCGAATTTCTGCCCGCCACCGTGCGCCAAGCCGTTCGACGTCTAGCCGCCTAGCTACCTGTTTCCATGGCTTATCGAATTTCCTTTCTTCCCCGCGACACTCGCTGGAATTTCATTACCGGTTCCTGCGGAAAGACGGTCCTCGCGTTCCCTGGAATAGTTTCGCTTGCTTTTTGCTTTGGATATGCGGTGTTCTTGTTTATGGAGTCCATTGTCTGTTACTTTTAGAGGACGATTGCATAGGTCGCTCTCTCGGAGGCTTTCCGGAGGCTGGATTTTCGCTGGGTTTCCTTGCAGGATGATATTGCAAGTTCTGTTTCTTTGTTGCTATTTTTGGAGAGCGTGGAATGATGATTTTTCTTTGGATTCTTTAGTGACGCGAGTATATTTTCTGGGTTGATTCTTTAGTGAGAATAACTCTAGACTAGAAGTAGTTCAAGCTTGATTATTGATATCAAGATGTAAAATGATTTATGTGTTTATATATGTGACATTGGACTCAGTTAACACTAGAACTACCGAGCATTTAATACGATTAATATGCAATTCCTATAAAAATTGTATCAATAGATTATTTTCAGTTTCTTCAGGCACTCATTAGTACTGAAATGAAACTATTGTCAAAATCATTTCGAATATTCAATGCTTCGAAGATATCAATAATTGCCAGAAAAAAAATCGAAACCAGTCATTTTCATTGATACGGTAGTTCTAGTGTTAACTGTGTTTGACGAGTATACACGTCATCGTAAAGCTTGACACGATACTGATTCATTCAGCGATGAATTCTTTATTTTTTCAAATAAACATGTAACTCTTTGTTTCGCTCTGATCTTTCATTGAAATATACTCTATTTACATTCGTCCTTCGATGAGTACACGCTCCATTTTATTTTATTGCGCGCGGAACCAGAGGTTTTTCCAACTAAATTCCACAGTTAACTATTTAAGGATTAACCAGAAAATTTTTAAACTATCTGTTAGTATGTATGTTAATGTAATTTGTTTAGCTATGACACGACCAGCGTTTAGTTTTGTATCTACTGCAGCATTTTCAATTTTACTTCTAGCATCTATATTTCTCGGAACGAATTGATTCTTCTTTAATTCGAAATGCCCGTTCACAAATTTCGTTTGCTCGGAGCGGCTAAAATTGATAGCTGTCGCGACGAGCGACGCCGGATCCGCCGGCAAACGGAAATCGGGACGCGATAAACGCGCGGCGGCGCGGCGGCTCGCTCGAGAGTATCGCATGTCTAATTCAGCTTTAATCTACTCGGTCCGTTTAAATAATTAACGACGTCAGATTCGATTGAAACATTTAATCGCGCACGGATATTTAATCGTAATTATCGCCGCATCCCCGAACGCGCTTCTCGGCGCGGACTGCGCGGGACGCCATAAGTGCGCGGTATATATTCACGTTTGCAAAATGGCGGCGCGTTAATGGCTGTTTAGGTATCCGGATCAGCGATTTATGGCTCGTAGAAAATTCATGCGTGCCGGAACTGTTGGCAACTTTTCAGCCACGGGGTGCATTAACCGTTCGACCGAGGTGTCAATTTTTGAATGTATCCTCGAAAGATAATAATCGATATTCTACAGCGCAAAGTCAATTTATATATCCGAACCTTTAGAAACTGTTCGAGGAAATTGTTATTTTTATTGGAAACGTGAACAGAGTTGAAAGATAATGGAAATACGGGACACGTGGATTGTATGGTTGATTTTGAACGGCAGTATTGTGGATTTAAGGGACGATCAAATGAATAAATCGAATGGGCGAACAAACATTTGATTTTGTATCGTTTCCTTCTGTTCCAGAGAGTGTTCCATGTTCCTGAAGCCTCTGATCGATCGTTTGTGCGCGGTTTCACGGTCGTGACAGGAGTATCGGTGATCGTGAAGTTTCGATATTGTTCCTCGGAGGTGGGTGCGACCGTGATCGATTAAATATCGATCGGAGAAAAAGTGTCCTCGAGCGGAGAGCGGTGCTAGTCCTCGGCATGAAGGGTGAGTACTGTCGCAAATATTAAGAAGCGAAGATGCGAAACGAATATTAACGAAACAGCATCAGTAGCAAGGAAGGAGTAGCTTCGGAAGCTGAGCTAGGGAACATAATACGAAATCAATACACTGATTAAAGTAAGAATTTAACGAGGAATCTTCTACTAAGATACGGAATAATGAGATGCGAGTTTAGGTGAAGATGCACTTTCCTTTAAGTGGGTGTACTATATAATCTTGAACAAGGTCTACCGTCATTGATTCCTTGTTTCAACTATATTTCACAACAAAATCAAATAGAGAGCTCAGTCATTCGTCTAGATAATCTTTATAAAAATTTATAAAAATATAAGGTAACAATTTTCGTACTAAAATTTGAAGAGATTCACCTGCACTTTCCCTTAAGTGGGTGTACTATATAATCTCGAACAAGGTCTCCGTCATTGATTCCTTGTTTCAACTATATTTCACAACAAAATCAAGAAATACAGAGCTCAGTCATTTGCTAAGATAATCGACCTTATAAAAATACAAGGTAATAATTTTCCTACTAAAATTTGAAGAGATTCAAGTCAGTCTGGCTCGTGAACTACCAATACGATCATTCACAAATCGCAAACCATAGATAAATTTCAACTTCCTCTCGCCTGAAATTCCAAAATCCGCCACTGATCGTCCAATTTTCCGAAATTCACGCGTGCCCGGTATCGTGTTTCCTCAGTCTCCATCGAGATCCGGTTAAACCGGCCCAGTTTTCTATGAAGGATCAAAGGTCACCGTGGATCCTGGAGCTGTCCCGGTCCAGGTGGCCGGTGCCGATTTGAATTCCGGCGGACGCGTGCGGCTCGCCGACTAATTAGGTTATGCAAAACAGCTGTTACGCCGGACCGGAAACCGTCCGCTATCATTCGCCGGAGATTCCGGAAATTTTCACCGGTCCGACTTCAGCTGCGCGCGCGTGGTCGGCCCGCGAAACTTTCGGTCCCTCGATTTGCATTTTCAATTTCGGCCGGCCGTGTTGCGCCGGTTCGTTGGTCTCGAAGCGCGGGAGGAGAGAGGACTTCCGGTTTGAATAGTTGACTCTGCCGCTCCTCCCCACCTCTCCCCGGGTTCCACGGTAATTCGGTCAATTTGTAGCTACGTTAAAATTCAAATTTACCGGCGCGTTAAGGACTTTCCTGCGCGTGCAAGTTTTCGGCGTTGCGGACGGCTGCGTGGCCGCGCGGCCGACAATATGGCGGCTCCCGGGGAAATGGAGTGGCTAAAATCCGCGCGGCCAGAGAGAATTGGCGGACGCTCGCTGCGGCTGCGTACATATATTTTTCGCAGCGAGGCTTCAGCGAATTAAGTGCAAATTGGAAAGGCGATTACACTGGGAAATAGAAGTTCGACGTGGGATTGAATTTTTATCGCGCGGGGAAAGGATTCGGTCGTGCTTTTTGTTGCAGGGGAACTTTAGAATACATCTGTTGAATATTTATTTGTAGAAATGAACAACAGTTTGAATAGCTAAGCGTATATTTATTAAAGTATGTAGTGCTTTATAAAAACTGTAACACGGAACGCTGTTCAACGGTTGAACGGTTGCTACGAACTGTACGAACGACGCGGAGAAAAAAACGCTCAGCGCGTGCAACAAAGATGGCTGTCCTCGGGGAAAACTGACCGCGAAGCAAAGGACTACCAATGGATGCAGCCATTAAGAATATACTTCATGCTCATTCTCGACAATATCTACTAGTGACAGTACTGATGATGAGTATATCGTTTAATTAAGAGAAACACGTGCAAGACTTGTGTTTTAACCATGGCTACAGATATTATTATACATCTTCTCAGAATTCTATAAGAAAACAGTACCAAAATCCACAGCAAACGTGCAAATTCGAAGAGTAAACACTCGAGAATGAGAGGAACGATTATTCCAAGTAACTTCTTGCAGAAAAACGTGTTACACGGTGTTCACGGAGAAAGTGCGAAGCGAAAGGGAACAGGGAAACAAACGCCATATTGTAAATCACATCCAAGCCCCTCGCGCGCGAGGGCGACGGAAAAATAGACGAAAACGATCGTCGCGAGCGTAATTTTCACGGGAATAACCGGCCGGGCGCCGATGAGAGTTGCCGGAAGTGCGAAGACGAAGTTCACGCTTCCTCGAGTGCTCAACATCGGATACTCTCGTCTCTCGAGTGGGGTTTTCGAGTTATTAACAAAGAGTCCCGTTCGAAGTTACGCAATAATTACCGGCGCGGTTTCCGCCGGCGGAAACTTTTCAGCCGGCTCGGCTCAAGTTCTCGTGAACTCCGACTGCTCTCTCGTCCGCTTGTCTTCGCGCGCGAATTCACGCCGGTTAAATCCCGCGGGAACACGCCGAGCAAATTGCCGCGCGACCGTTCGACGATGGACAGAAACAGAATTCCGAAATTCTCGACCTTCGTTGAACTGTAACGGAACGTTAATCTCGGAACGATTGGATTTTGTTTTTATTTATCTTGTTACTTGACCAATAGCGGTTTTTATTTAATTTTGCAATTTTTAATCGTATTCCTTTCATCTTGTAAACAACTTTTTTCGAGAGGTTTAGTGCAATAAATTTACTGGAGTACAGAAGTGGAAACTTTTAGTTTTAATTTAACTAATCGCAGTTTTCATTTAATATTGAAATTTTTAGTACCATTCCTTTCATCTCGTAGATAAATTTTATCTCGAGAGGTTGCAATAAATTTACTGGACTACAGAATTGGAAACTTCTAGTTTTAATTTAACTTATAGTTTAATCTGATTTAATTGATTTTAATACCCTGAAGAACTAGTGAAGGTGGTATTTCAAGTTGTACAGATTTCAAGCGAAAATGTTTGACGTCAGTTATTAAAGTTGAAGTAGCTTGAAGTTGAGTAATGGATCGCGCGACCGAGGATGAACTACAATTTGAGTAACGGCCAGCGCAACGGAGGGCGAAATATTTCATCGTGAAAATTTTGTTTTTCGGCGGGAATAGTCACTTTTTCCCGTGACCAGTTTTCGAGTTCGGCTCGACAGCTCTCCTCTTCGAGACTTCTCCATCAATCGGGGCCGTTGAATTAATTGAAGCGATACGTGTCACGTTTTGAAACGGTTCGTGACAATGTGCACAGCACTCGATATAACTGTCGAGGAACGGGGGGAGCGCGATCGTTAACAGGTGTCTCAATCTCCGATACTTGTTTGCGATTATTTGAGCGAACGCTCGAAGTAAACACAGGCTTGTATTACATTTACTCGCCACTCATTCGCTCTGAATTACTCTTTGCCAAACGACGAGCATTCGATAAAAGTAGTTTCTAAATTGATCGGCTACGCTTAGAAATTCGTGTAATGATCAATCGCATCATTGCAAATTTTTAGCAGAAAGGTACGTAATATTTCGCTAGCAGCATCAATAATTCTATAGGCATATAAAAATTGAAGATTTGAAGATTTAATAATTTGAAAGTTTGAAAGTTTGAAAGTTTGAAGATTTGAAAATTCGAAGATTCGAAAGTTTGAAGATTTGGAGATTTGAAGATTTGAAAGTTTGAATATTTGAAGATTCGAAGATTTGAAAGTTTGAAGATTTGAAGATTCGAAGATTCGAAAGTTTGAAGATTTGAAGATTCGAAGATTCGAAAGTTTGAAGATTTGAAAATTTGAAGATTTGAAAATTCGAAGATTCGAAAGTTTAAAAGCTTGAAACTTTGAAAGTCCCAATGTTCAAAGCTCCGAACCACTGAACTTCAAAGCATTCAGTAGATTTTCAGAACAATCTCCCTTCATTCTCCACTAAAATAAAGCCCCATTTAATCCATTCCCACAAATTTCTTGGGTTAAACTCAGATTCCGTACACAAAGTCCTCTGACCAAGCCATTATCACTGAATAAACACGATTAATATTCCGAATTCAATCTCACCCTAACGTCAGCATCAAATATCCCTTCTGGCCGTCTATATACTTCATCCCCAACAAAAAGCGGAGAAACAATAGATTCATAAGCGACCATGAAATTCATCAAGAAACAATTACGCTCGGACGTAATAGGGGTTGCGAGCTTCCTCATAAAATTACCAGTCTCCCTTGGCATTACTTAACCCCTGTGCACGAGCACGAGACTCTTCAGGTTCCTTCGGAAAAAATCCTCGCCCGAAAAACCGCGGGATTGTGTTCCTACGGAGCGTTGGGAGCGTTTCGCTCGGGTTTCATGAAATATTCGCCGTTCTCCGGGGCTCTGGAGGCGTCGTTTTCCTCGCTAATTGCTTGGCCCTCGCGCTCGTTCTCCTGCGAAACCAGGGGCAGCTGTGTGATGCACGATGAATAGATGAGAAACGAGAGTTTTGCTGAACTTTTGGGACCGAAGATCACGTTTCTAGTGTCTTTTCTTGATACTTTTTGTTTTGATTGGAAGTCTTTAACTTAGGGATCGAGAGAATATTTGAAAATTTGAAGGTGTGGAGGTTTAGAGGTTTGGAGGTTTGAAGGTTTGAAGGTTTGAAGGTTTGAAGATTTGAAGATTTGAAGATTTAAAAATTTGAAAGTTTGAAGGTTTGAAGATTTAAAAATTTGAAAGTTTGAAAGTTTGACAGTTTGACAGTTTGACAGTTTGATAGTTTGAAAGTTTGGAAGTTTGAAACTTTGAAACTTTGAAAGTTTGAGGATTTGAAGATTTGAAAGTTTGAACGTTTGAACGTTTGAAGGTTTGAGGATTTAAAAATTTGAAAGTTTGGAAGTTTGGAAGTTTGAAACTTTGAAACTTTGAAACTTTGAAAGTTTGAGGATTTGAAGATTTGAAAGTTTGAAAATTTGAAAGTTTGACGGTTTGAAGGTTTTAAGATTTGAAGATTTAAAGATTTGAAAATTCAAAAATTCAAAAATTCAAAAATTCAAAAATTCAAAAATTCAAAAATTCAAAAATTCAAAAATTCAAAAATTCAAAAATTCAAAAATTCGAAAGTTTAAAAGCTTGAAAGTTTGAAAGTTCCAATGTTCAAAGC